TTTTTACTAGTCCCTGCCTTTCCTATGGGAGAGATTCCAACCCTTAGTTAGCATCTGGGATTTAACACAATAGCAACTCTATCCAGAGTTGCACACTCTTACCAAGGTAGCATATGTGGTCAGGGTTAGGCATCAGGCTTAGACTTGGAATTCAGTTACAACATCAAAACCAATTTAGCAATAAGGATCTTTATTCAGTACAGAGCTTAGCATAGACTGCCAGAGATTACAAAAATAACAAAGGTTAGGGCTGTTTGCCTTAACTAAACATTAATTATTCATAGTTACCACGTCAGGAGTATTCATCAGTCCAAGATAGTCCCAGTACCAAGGGATTTTGAAGGGAAATCCCATTTTTCAACAGCCATGTGCTCCAAGTCACAAAGCAACTCTTTGTCTTCCAAGAGACAGCATTTCCAGGCGTCATAAAACAGACAACGACAAGAGGAGGAAGGGAGAGCTAAGAAACTCACTCCCAGAGGGATCAATCAATTATAGCCCAATTCCAGTCACAAATTAGCTGTGGCCATCAGTCAATTGCGAGTGGGCATGGGTGTGCCCAATTGTTGGTTGCCATAGCTGCAACACAGGAATGGCTAGAAGTTTGGAGCCCCTCCTGCAGTCAGGTGACCCAAACTCCACAGCTTCTTCATTGCCTACGTGACAACACTCATGCGAGGCCTAGTGTGGAGCCTTACAGTCTAGCTTCTAGCATGGAAGTGTGAAGAAGGTGGTTTATAAAGTTGTTCAGGCCATCTGGCCCACCATTTGGCTTGCAACAGGAAATAAGGCACAGCATGTTATCAGAAAGACATCACAGGAGAAGGCAGGAGACTTTTAGAAATCAATATTTCTATAGTCCATCAAGCTCCATATTGACTACTCAGGCTGGCAGCAGCTCTCCAGGATCTCAGGTGGAGGTCTTTTACCATCACCTGCTGCCTGCTCCTTTTAAGTGGAGATGCTGGGGATTGAACCCATGAGCTTCTGCTTGCTAAGAAAAGGCTCTTCCACTGAGCTGGAGCCCCCCTTCTCATCACTCTCCCTCAGCCTAACCTGTCTCACGGTGTTGTTCTGAGGACAAAATGGAGGAGGCAAGAACCATGGGCTCAGGCTCCTTGAAGGAAGGGTGGGATAAAAGGGTGATGAGCACATTTGTTGACATGTCGGCTTCTTGACTTACTTAATTAAAACATTTATATCCCTCCTGATCTCCTGAGACTCATGAGCCTGTTAGTACTGTCGGTTTCGTTCGTCTACACCGGAGGGCGTGTTCTCCTTGCTACATAAAGAAGACCCCTGCATTTTCTAGAGAAACTGCCACCCAAGTGGCAGACCGAGTATTAACCTGACTGATGGATCCAAGCCTAGATCTTAAGCGAGCTTTGGCCACAACCCGGGAACAGTCTAGACAATCAGGATAACATGACTGACGGTCAAATGAGCTCTCGGGTCAGAGCAGTGTGTGGAAAGCCATTCAGTTTTAAAGCACACACAAAAAAAGTATAGAATGAGACTTCAATAGAACATTATATGCATTTTACACTGGCTGTCAGCTGACTGTCCCGTGACAGCCCATTATGTAAGAGGTTATAAAAGCTATTTTCCCCCAACTTCCTGATGCGTCTGAACTTGCAACGGATCAGAAATCAGGGATGGAGCAGGAGCTCCTACAAGGTAACAGGATAGTGTGTTACTTTCTAGCATAGCCATTTCTTCAGCTATTGTGTAGGGCTGAGAGCATACATATTTGCCAAATTGTTTAACAATAGTTTAGTATTTCATAGTGAGGCATAAGCAAAGCGACAGGTTGATAGAGTGTTCCACTTGGACCCTGGTTACTTCATTATACCAGTGGTGTTCATCAGCTATGAAGGATCCAAAATCTGCATTTGATTATCTTCAAACATGTATTTCTTATTAATTACGTTTACAGTGACCCCCCCAAATGCCATTAAATTTTGTTTCCTAGAAGGAACACACTGAGGGTGTGCTCTTCTTGCCATATAAAGATGACGCCTGAATTTTCTAGAGAAAATTCTAGAGAAAATGAGGAACGTGAGAAAAACTCCCAAAAGCAGATTACGAAAGGTAGGTTGTGGCAAAGAATCGCAACTATTCCTTTCCTCTTGCTCAGAAAGATAACACTTCTCAACCTATTCCTCATCGTTAAGGTACTTTAGCCATAACTACCTAACTATAGTTCTTGTTAATTTGAATCCATAATTTGAATCCTTTTTTGAACATCCTTGTACCTTGAGTCCTTGTTTGAACATCCTTGTACCTAGAGCTTCCTTTTAGCCAGGTATGAGTTAGTAATTACTTCAATACTGTTAAGTCGCTCACTAAACAAAGTAGTCGGAGGGTGATTCAGCAAAGGTTCACCTTTATTCAACAACTAGAGCACAACTCCAACACGGATCAACATTGTAGCTGTTCTGCTTTTAAACTCTCCTGGCTAATGTCGCCACGCCTACTATACAAATACCAACCAATTAGGTTGTCTACATAAGGACCAATCACGGGTTTTTTTTTTTTAAAGTTTCATTTTAAAAAAATAAATAAATTCCATGTTTAATGTGCAACGAGGGGAGGTTTGTTGTTACCCTTCCCTTATGGGTTCCACATCCCAGAACCAAAAGGTAGCTTTGAAACAAACACACAAACAAACAAAACCTGAATGCTGGGGAGTGAATTCTAAGAGCAATCCTGGCTTCCACAATTAATTCTTCAGTAATCATAGTAGAATGCTTCATTTCCATACTGGGCTAAGCCTCTGGAGAGCTGATCAGCGTGGCTTAATCATATTATAAGGCAGAACAAAGTTTCTGTCCAGGGGCACCTTTAAGACCAAGAAAGTTTTATTCGAGGTATAAGCTTCTGTGTGCACGCACATTTCTTCAGATCATATTATAAGGCCGTGTGTGGATTTGACCTGAGCAAGGCCGTTAATGATAGGATGTTTCGGAGGTCACTAACTGATGCGTCAGAAGCAACTCGATGGTGCTTAAAAACACACACGTGCATTTATAGTTCAGGGTTCAGTGCTGGCCTCTGTGACAAGCTTCTTCACTTCATGTGGGGTTAGGTTGTTTCTGCCATCAGCCCATGTGCTTTTGTGTAGTAGCCACCGATGTGTGAGGAAGGTCTGGGGTATTTGACCTCCAATAGCCTCCCTTGTGTGGACCAAGCATTGTTGGCAATTCCATCATGTAGGCAAGTAAGGTCAGCAACTGCCCAAACAGGGGCCAAATCTGACCTTACGTCTGCCACAAAGTTCCCCAACCCATTTTCCAGACAGACACGAAGCTGGGGAACTCACATTCCTAAGTGCTCCAGGGCCCAATTCAGCTCAGGAGCATGGCATAGAGGAAGAGGGGCTTTATCCTTCCAGCCCGTGCTGTTTTCCTGAGCCCAAAGGGCCACAAGATAAAAAAGGCCGAAGCTCCTCCTCCGTCTGTAAAACAGGTTGGGGAATCCTGACTCACCGTGGAGCAGACATGATGTCTAGTTTGGCCTTTGGTTATGGCCCGTGTGTCGTGGAACGGCTGGCCAGAAATGCTCAGAAAGGCTTCTACTTATTTGGCTTTCTGGAAATCTTGTACGGTGGAAATGTTTCCCAGTGCTGCTTCTTGAAGGTTTGTGGCGCCTGTAGTTAATTTAGTGCTCGGCATAGAAAGAGCTGATCCGTTGGCCATTACGTTTCATTGTGCTGAAATGAATTCAGTGGAAGCTTATTAGAATTGTTATAGTTTTTAATGGGTGCACTCTGTCTTGAATCCCTGAACTGGGAGAAAAAAATGGAATAGAAAGACTATACTATTTTTTAAAAAAAACAACGTTCAAAGAATAATAATTATGGGTAATAAAAATGTCCTTTTCTTTATCTGACATATTTGTGAAATGTTCTTTGCCTGTTTCGGGCAGGGAATGACTGCACATGCGTGCAGTATAGATATCTTCTTGTGGTTCTTGGCATTTGATAAGCTTTGCAACTTGTTTTTTAAAAGAGGCTAGCCACCCTCAAATCTTCCAGTGCCTCTCTTAGGGTTGCCAGATCCAGGGGAGCTGTAATTCGGGGGAATCCCCAGTCCCCACCTGGAGGCTGGCATCCCTAGGAGGCCCTAGCCTTAAATTAATTGCCCCGTGTGGTTTTTCATTAAAAAAACCCCAGAACTCCTTAAATGGAACAAAAAATCATATTTTGCGCTTTAGGCGCTCCTCAAAATAACCACACAGGACACACAGTTAATTCCTAATTGCCTAATTGTTTCATTTAAGGAGTTCTGGTTTTTTTAAATGAAAAATCAGACGGGGCAATTAATTTAAGGCCAGGGCCTCCTAGGGATGCCAGCCTCCAGGTGGGGACTGGGGATTCCCCCAAATTACAGCTCATCTCCAGGCCAGTGTTCCCTCTAAGCTGAGTTAGTGTGAGCTAGCTCACAGTTTTTCAGCCTCCAGCTCACACATTTTTGCCTCTCAGCTCGGGAACGATGGCTCCGGAGCAAACTAATGTAAGCAGTACCCAAATCACTCGCTCACAACTTTGATGCCAGTAGCTCACAAAGTAGAATTTTTGCTCAAAAGATTCCGCATCTTAGAAGGGAGCATTGCTCCAGGCTACAGAGATCAGTCCCCCTGGAGAAAATGGATGCTCTGGAGGGTGGACTGAGCTCTACTTTGCTTTAGGCGCTCCTCAAAATAACCCCACAGGACACACAGTTAATTCCTTCAGTGCGATCTCATGATCTCTTGGATGATCTCTAACAACAAGAAAGGGAAAAGGAAGGCGCAAGTTCCAGGGCAGCCACCTCGGGAGCAAGAGAGCAGCGTTCTCACGGGCAAAAGAGCGGGCGGCCAAGGCCCCAATGTGCGGGCCTCCACATCCGTCTGGACACACACACACACCCGGGTCAGGGCACGCCTTTTCCTTCGCAGCAACCTTTGCGGGGAGCAGCTCAGCGCGGAGGGGTGGGGCCGGGCGGAAGGCCAGGCAGGCAGGCAGGCAGGCAGGCGGACTTCCCTGCCGCTCGGCTGTTCGGGCAGCAGAGGCCGAGCAAGCTCACCTTCCCGGACTACCCCCCGCCTCCCCCTGCCCAGTCTCCGATGCCTCCGAGGCTCGCCGGCTTCCTCTGCGCCCGACCGACTCTCGATTGCTGGGGGAGTTCTTGAGAAAGGCGTCGGATTCCGCAACCGGGCGCCGAAATTCGCAGGAAGGAGAGACTGCAACACACCGGTAAGTTTCCCAAGAGGGGAGCGAGAAAGGAGAAGCGGCGGCTTCTTCCGCGGGACGCATTTCGCGCAGGCAGCCCCGTTCCTGGAGACTTCTGCATTCGCTCGCCGGAGGAAAGCCGCCGGGACGGTCTCTGGAGGGAGTGAGGCCTGCTGCGAAAGCGGCGCTGCCGGTGTTTCCTTCGGGGGACTCGGGCGTTCCTTGCGCGCCACCTGGCCGGCTGCACCTCGCGTGCTTTTCCGAGGGAGGCGTCTTTTTGCACCGCAGCTGGCAAAAAAAGTTTGGCTGCTTCTCGCCGTCCGCCCGATTAACAGCTGGAAACCTCCGGAGGTCGGTTCGCCCCGTCTTTTTTGCTAAATTGCACGTGGAGCTTCTCGGGGGTGGGTGGGGGTGGCACATTGGGAAATCTTTGCACAGTTCTCGGTCGTCGGGGGATGGGATGGGATGGGGTGGGGGAGGCACATTGGGAGATCTTTGCACATTTCTCGGTCGGCGCTTCCCAGCTCCTCGCTGGCTTGTCTTTTGAAAGCAAGTCTCCTTGCACAGATGACAACCATCTTGGCGACAGTGTTTTTGGAATGTGACTCTGACTTCTAAAGATACCGATCTCTGCTGATGTGTACAGGAAGTGCTGTGGATTTCTGTCTTTTCTTTTTTGCAAAGCTGCTACCTGAAATTGTGTTAGGAAAGAAAGGGAGGGGAAGGCGGCAGTCAGAGATTATTTGGAGCTACATAGCAACATGCTGTAATTTTTACCAGCATTTCTGGTAGGCGGGAATGGGGAAAAAAAGAATAATTTATACACCAGAGTCCAGGTTTATTTGAAGAAGTGTGCTTGCACACGGAAGCTTATACCCAGAATTAAACTTTGTTTGTCTTAAAGGTGCCACTGGACTCCAAGTTTGTTCCATGTTTAATATAACCTCTCTGGATTTCACTCGGTACCACTGGACTCAAACTTAGTTCTCCCATCTGTTTGCTAACTCTTGTATTTATATGCTATTTGCTGCCATTCACAGCTCTCACCAACTGCTTTAATCCAGTCTCAGCTATACTTATTGCCCAATTACTTACGCACTTTAACTCTAACTAGCCCTTCCTGACAACTAACCTCCCCCCACCTATACATTAGGCTTGAGGAAATCTGTTTATTTGAAGAACTGTGCATGCTCATAAAATCTTACACCCAGAATTAAACTTTGCTGGTCTTAAAGGTGCCACTGGACTCAAACACAGCTGCTTACCTGAATCTCTCTTGATTTCAGTTGAACTTAAGAGAAATCAATAGAAGTTACTTCCCAAAAACATCTTTAGGAGCAAGGGACTGAATTTGCCGGAGTTTGAGAGTGCTTTGTAAATATATGGAATGGGAAGGAGAGAGTGATATCCCCTATATGGATAACTAAGCAGAATTCAGCTAATAAAGACTTTTAACATAATTCCGCTATTAAAGATTTTGTGTCACTTGGTGACCTAAAGCGAGTTACACCCTTCTGAACCCACTGGAGTTAATTGCGCTGTCCGAGACTTTATACTTTCTGCTCATATTACAATTAAGGAAACCTGGCTGTTCCCTTATCTGTAGACAGCGTCATCACTAACAGAACTGGGAGATAGTTTCAGAGCGTAGCCATGTTGGTCTGCAGTATAGCAGCTAGAATCGAGTCTGTTGACAACTTAGAGACCAACAAGAATGTGTGTGTGTGTGTGTGTGGGTATGAACTTTCATGCGTCAAAGCTCTGATGGAGGGAGCTTGGGCTCATACGACCCAAGATCTTGTTGGTCTCTAAGGTTCTGTTGGACTCGATTCTGTCTGTACCGCTTGGAGTCTGTGGGTACCATACGGTGTCGGTAAAGGTAAAGGTTCCCTTGCCCGAAAGCCAGTCGAATCCGACTCTAGGGTTGCGGTGCTCATCTCCGTTTCAAAGCCGAAGAGCCAGCGCTGTCCGAAGACGTTTCCGTGGTCATGTGGCCGGCATGACTAAACACCAAGGCGCACGGAACGCTGTTACCTTCCCACCGAAGTGGTCCCTATTTATCTACTTGCAATTTCTTGCTTTCGAACTGCTAGGTTGGCAGGAGCTGGAACTAGAGACGGGAGCTCACTCCGTCATGCGGCGCACTCGGGTCTCGAACTGCTGAATTACCGATTTTCCACAGCCTGCAGTGTAGCCTGCATAATTCTGCTGTACACCAATGGGGTTATACAGGCCAGATCCCTTTGCTGGTTTCTTAATTTCTCTATTTGTAGGCAAGAGGAGAGCGATGAGGGTGGTCGGGGGCCTGGAGACCAAGCCCTGTGAGGAAAGGCTGAGGGACTTGGGAATGTTCAGTCTGGAGAAGAGGAGGTGGAGGGGGGACAAGATTGCTCTCTTGAAGTATCCGAAGGGCTGTTCCTTAGAGGAGGGCAGGGGGCTGTTCCTTTTGGCAGCAGAGGACAGAGAACTCGTAAGAATTGGTTTAAGTAAAGAGCGGGAAGGTGCCGGCTGGATATTAGGGAAAACCTTTTTTTTTTACAGTAAGAGTTGTGCAACAGTGGAGTCAGCTGCCTAGGGAGGTGGTGAGCTCCGTCTCACTGGCAGTCTTTAAGCAGCGGCTGGACAAACACTTGTCAGGGAAGCTCTGGGATGATCTTGCCTTGAGCAGAGGGATGGCCTAGATGGCCTGCATGGCCCCTGCCCACTCTGTGATTCAGTGATTCTATGAAAACTGCTTATGCAGCATTGAGTGCCAGAAATGCTTCACAGCCTGTCGGGGTAGGAAGGCAGGCTTGCCAGCTCTGGGTTGGGAAGTTCCTGGAGATTTTGGGG